AATTTTCTCGCTAAATCGCACGTGGCGCCAAGGGCTGGGAGGACGATCGGCAATGGGGAGCAAAAAAGTGAGAAAAACAAAGTTTTGTGTGAAACCTGAGTTGTACACCATTCGGTAGTATTTTTCATGGGAAATCGAACGGTGCACCCCTCAGCTCTGTAGAGTCATCTGGAAGAGCAAAAACTCTGATTTTCATTTTAGGGCATGACGGAGAGTGATGTTTGGGGCCACACCACGGACGGAGCGCTTACCCGTGACCAAATATTCTACATCAATCTTACAGAGAAGTAACTGGAGTCTACGTCTGTGGAGAGATTCCTGGCTATCTTCTCAGGTTTCCGCAAATCATCTCCTCTAAATGTGGGGAATGTCACATAATAGGTCTACTACTACTGCTGGAAACTGTTCGAAGATTCTCATTTGGAGTGGAAGAATGGGTTGATCAGCGCACGGTTAGCCAATTAGCGCTCTAGAACGAATTAAAGATCGTGAAATTCGAAAAAAAACATTCATTCAATCTCACCATATGGTGGACCGGTTGGGTACGTGGCGTATTCTGAGGGTGTTGAGATCCATGTTTCTGTGGGATGATCAGGCTGCATAGGAGGACTTATATGCGCATCACATACAAAGTATATTCATTACTTCTCGGGATGGAGGTCGAGTGCATGGCGCAATCCTAGATGGAGCTCTTTCAGAAATTGAATTTAACCATCTTGTAGATCTCGAGCAGAGCTATCAGATGGTATAAACTGCAGGTCGAGCGAACCATTTTTTAAAGAGTTATGGCGAGCCGACGGTTTGCGACGGTTTCCGACCGTCGCAAACCGTCGATTGAACAAAAATTAGTAGCGGTATTGTAGCTCAAACGATTCTTGACAGCAAAAACCCAACTCCCTCTGAATAGTACGGAGCTGTAAGCTGAATGATAAACTGCCTAACTATGGCGATTGTTAGCTCGTGAGGAACACACCTGTTACGGAAGATTCTGACAAGTTTGTTCTCCGTACGCCAGATTGTACGATACTTGAGAAAGAAGGTTCCATAAAAAAAAAACTTCCTAATCTCAAAACCATCAGCCCAATTGTTTTTACGTCAATGGCTCTTGGTTTCACTCAAACAGCAAAAGCAGCTGTTTTAATTGCCTTCTGTCTTCCTCGGTAAAACATCCCGTGAAGCGATCACTGGGTTTGCTATCAACAAACCATGGGCACCTATGCTCCATTCGAATAATGCCGCGCGAGCGTGAACTGAATTACGGTGTACTCTGACCTAGTGCTGAAAGTTACCATTCTTGCCAACATAACATCGCTGATATCAGCAAAGGATCTGCAGCAGCTCATCCCACGACAACCTCTATCCAAGTGCACTCACTTCCGGTGACACGCCTACCCCAGCTTTCAGGGTGGCATTCAATCCTACTCTGGTTCAATCCTCTGGGGTACAAAAAAGGGTTGCGTCATAGGACCTAGCATACCTCTGTGTTCCTGCCCGCCAGACAGTTAGAGCAGCGCGACCCCTCAGGAAAAGAGTGCTCATCCACAGCGGGGTATTCGCCTGCTCACGGCAAGAAAACAGTGGTATGCTAGGTCCTATGACGCAACCCCTTTTGTCCCCTCCAGAGGATTGAATCAGAGCAGGGGGATATACCCCCTGGGGGAAGGATTGAATACCGCCTATGCATATATCAAACCAGAATATTCTTGAGTGTTGTAAAGCTTGAGCGCTCGTTCCCGCATTACGTCGTTAACACACTAGCTATACAAGTTCTACATTAAAAATGCTCTTTTTGCTGTTAAATGCGTGCTCAGGAATGTTCAGAAACCGCTGTGCAATGTTACCATAAAATGTGCGTAAAGTTGGACGTAAGTCCGCAATATCTAGTTTAACAACGTTTTATGCGTCCGATTATGTTATAAGGTTTAAGGCCCTGTTCAGAGATGTCCGCTTGCGCGAAAAAACGCATAGGCGAAACAATGTGAAATATGTATCGACTGAACGAAGACGCACAGGCGAATCGTGAAGTGGGAGGATCGACGAAAATGAGTATCATACGCATCGACTTACGAACGCTTCGCTCACGCGATTTTCCGCCTGTGCGTTTCTCACAGTCGATACATATCAAACTCTTGACTGAAATTCGCCTGCTCCGGACGTTTCGCTTACGCGTTTCACAATTTCTCAGTCGATGCGTATCTAAATCTTGGCGGAGATTTTCGCCTGTGCGTTTTTTCGCGCCGGCGGACATCTCTGAACAGGGCCTTAGGTTCGTATTGCTTATTAAATTTTGTCTCTGCTACTTGAACATCTGGATTAATAAGCCTCCCAAAATCTAGTTAGCGGGGGTGATTCATTAGGAACACGAAAACGACCTACCTTTTCGCGGTTCACAACGGGAAACAAAAAAAAGCTGGGCTTTCTGTACTATGAACCGCACCCTAGGTAACCACCGGCTTGTGTCAAATTTCCCGAAATAATCTGTTTTGTAGCAACGCGACCACTTCTCTCTCTCGGTATTTTGGGGATTCTCACGAATGATGAGAGGCATCCTTTGCAAAGAAGTTTCTGAGAACTCGCATAACTAACTCTGGTGCATATCTTTTTTTTTTCTGTTTGCTCAGATTTTTGAAGCACTAAACAAGTTACTCGTAAGCATTTGACGAAAGGTTTAGGTGTTGCGCTTCCACCATTCCATAGAAAGGGAGCCATCTTTTTTACACTCGAGGCTGTTCCATATAGGCCTAATCCTGTTGTGACCCGAAGCCCCAGGAAAAGCATGTCATTACTCCATTTTTTATCTTTACGCTAAAAACATGGTGTTTGCAGTAATAGGATAGGGCAATATGGAGGGAGGATCAGGAAGAAGCTCCGCCCGCCAAAGAAACAACGCTTCAAGGTATGATACTTTTCGGTTTTTGTTCATGTTGTTTGCTATTTTGGGGTCTCATCCAGTAAAGGGGGGCATGTGGTGTGACAGTTCTTGTCGGCTACAGAAATTCCAATTTTTGCAAGGGGAGGGAATCCCCGGGGTGCGTGAACCATTTCGCTTAAACTTTTACACCCACCCGGAGCTTCCCTCCCCTGAAAAAAGTGGATTTCTTCATGCAATATACAACTGTCGCACCACATGCCCCCCTTACTGGATGAGACCCCTATTTTGTCTCATTGGTTTACCGCACCATTTTTACTTTTCTGCTGGATCACTTTTGGTTTCATTAAAGATATTTCAGCACCTTACCTTCAACCAATGTGTTGCTTCAATTGGAGGAGACAGTGCCAGATTTAGTAGGAGGCTATCACACCGTCCCAACGATAGCGAACTGTTTTTCACAGAAGCGCTAACGAAATGGAATGACCAAGATTTTGGTGTTCATTACAGTATGTTTTGCCTTTAATAGCAGTCTATAGCAATCGCTGTCCGATGACTGAGGCCGGTTTTACTTTTGGTTCCAACGAAGTGCAGCTGCTCGAACAATGCTTCAGCGCTTCGGAATCGTGAGAAAGGAGAGTGTGGAGAGCTCGTTCTGACCGCTGGTGCATCGCTCGAATCTGCTGCGTCATTCGAACCACTAACGTTTTGCCTTTACCCCGCGACTCACTAGTGACTCGCTGGACTCGCAGAGCCTGACACCGGCCAGCGTGGATGCTGACATAGTTGGGATAGGAAGCAGTCGCCGTTGAGACGCACGACATGTTCGCTCCCTTTAGGGCAAAACGAGGAGTGGGAAGAGGGGTGCAGAGGGTGTGGTTTGCTGGGGCAGCAAGCAATTTTTTGCGTTTCACCGCGCGAAACATTTGTTGCTACGGGAACCTCAGGTCCACCGCTGATCATCGGTGGACCTGGGGCCGGGTGCAGCAAGCCCCAGCCAGGGATGGGCTCTCGAAACTCTGCATCTGGACGCATCTCCCTTTTCTTGATCACGAGGATCGCGTCATCGACCGAAACAGAAACGGAATTTTGGAACCCAACACCTGGCCAGGGCTTGGGGCCTGGCGGTTATTCTAAACAAATGAGCATACTAGCTCCTGGGGCCGGGGCTGCGGTCGGCCCTAGGAGCTAGTATGCTCATTTGTTTGGAAATAATCGGGCGAATTCTTCAATCACTTTATTCCCGAAAATCTGCCCTAGACCTGTTCATATCTGAACAGTGTTGTCGAACAGTATTAATTCAATCCTACTTTTGTTGGCAATTCTATCCTTATTATTACTGATAGCTGGTGGGTTGTGATAAATTCACCGTCAAGGGTGGGTTAAGGTAAAGCAGTAGTGTAATCGGTAGCGTGGTGGCTTGGAAATGGGTGCGGGTTCGAATTCCGGAACTCTGGAACGGATAATTTTTGCTCATAACTCAATGTTCTTGTGATATCTATCCTTATTATACGGTTGACGAGGGCAGCTTTCGTTTATTGGTGGTTGTGAAAATTGGTGTAACGCCTCTTCATACCTAAAGAAACGAAAAAAAAACCTGAGCAGACTTCTTCATCCGAAAGAAATGCGATAAGGGGTGCGAATACTCTTATAATCAACAGGCGTCAGCAACATTTTTTTCTTCAGCATCATTCGTTGACAGCTTACCGTGTGATGAACTTAGCACACATGCGCAGCTGCTCTATCACAAAAAGACCATAACAGAGTTATTACTGAAGAACTTACAGGATGAGGTACGCTTCAATTCTTATCTCAGGAAAGGTAGACGCGCTATTGCTTAGTTCAAGTCTCCTGTTTAGAAATGCAAGTCTGTTTCAAGCCTTTTGCGAGCTGTTATCGGCATTCGTACTCGACATGAAGGAGGATTTTCGAGATGATATGTGGGATTTCTTCAGTGCATTGACAAATGTACTAGGTGTGTCAGAGACCTTATTTTTTTAGTCCGACGCTTCATTCATATTCTTTTTATCCTGATCAGTTTTACAGATCTTGGAGAGCGTGATGTTGAATCGGTGGAAGCGGCATTTTTCACCTTATCCCTTCTTGTGAGAATCATGTGGCGAACATTAATCAAGGATTTCGTTTCCTCTTTTGTGTGAGTGGGGTTTCCAACACAGTTTGTTCTATAAGTTTTGGCATCACACTCAAGATGGAATTGCAAGAAAGGTAATGGAGTATATATGAGATTTAATTAAGAACGAAAAGAAAAGAATCAAAAAACCAAGCGAGAGTGCTCATAGATCCAATTGTTGGGGTGTGTTCAGACGGAGGCAGCAAGGATGCGTAAGTAAACCACGGTTTTCACAATGTTGGCTTTCAGGGATTTTAGCGGATGCAGTGACTCAGTTTCAACCATTTAGCGCTTGCATTTGCGCATAGGGTATGGAGGAATGAAGAGGCATATGAGCGAGTGCTTGAATGGTATTTTTTCGCTAAATGATCAGAGGGAAATCAGGAAAGTGCCCAATTTGGAATGCACTGCCTTAGCGAATGCTCTCTCTTTCCGTTTTTGAGAGGCATATTTCGCCTATTCTTCATGCACCAGGTTAGAGGCTTCAATGCGCCTCTAGTTTCCTTTCTTACTTATTTTTCCGAATCCTCCTTGTTTCTGAGTGGTCTAATGTCAGCAGCTCAGACTAACACAACAAGTGCAAAGGATAGCGATGCAACAACTAGTTGCAGTGTCTTGTTTTTGGGCTTTATAATCTTTGTTCATATCCTGCTATATAACTATCTTTTAGTCGGTTCATTCCTCTTTTTGGAAGTAGCAGACCCTATGTCCGTCGTTTTGCAGCGGAATCGTTCTCGTTTGTAATGAGGAAGTCATCAAAGCTAAGCACGGTATGAGTAGTTTTCAGGGCTCGGATAGTTTTTCACATATGGCTGTGGTAGCGTCTAACTTTCTTTATTACTGACCCGTTTCACTACAGATATCTCAACATGTCGTGGAGCAAGCGTATAAGGTGCAGGACGAAAGACTAACTGAAGGTTGTGCCGAGTTGTTTTTCTACGTTTGTAGAGGAGTTGCTGGAGGATTCCACAGTGCAGCTAAAGAGGTAAGAAAAACTAGAGTAAATCCTAGTGTGAGCGATGTCATTTCATTTTATTTTTTCATTCTTTTGTTATTGCGATCATTGCAGCTTCTTAGTAATGCCAAAATGACTTATAAGGAGTGCATACATGGATATATCCATATAGGCAGTGCATATATGGATATAGGGAAATGAGAATCCCTCCTCCAGTTTCACAAACCTTTAAGTATCTTCTTTTTGCAGAATCCTTATTCTTACATTTCTCGGATTCTAAACTGGTGCTGCGATCGAAATTTGACGATCCTCCTGTAGCTTTTTTTTCAATACGTCAATGTCCGAAGCATTTTCAGCAAGTCCACAACATGGTAACTGGTGTATTCAAAATTTCCGATCCCAGATATTCGAGATTATGGTGTAACTATACTAGAAAAGACAACGGAGTTCATAGTGAAGTATGTCCAGAAGGCGTCACGAGGAGATCTCTTCTTCTTTGAAGTTACTCTAATCGTAAGTATTTCTTGGTCTAACATGTTTTCTCCGCCGTCCATCCTAGGTTAAAGCGTTTCTTATGTTACAGAACTTAATGGAAAAGGCTTCCAATATGGTGCCTTGTACGTACGCGGCCCGACTATTGAGTCTGTGTTTCGTGCAACGGAAGTGGAAGAATTTGTTTTCTTCACAAGAACAGCTGCTTTCCACAATCGAGAAGGTCCTATCTGCTTCATTTTTCCGACTCAACGCTGAATTCATCAACTTCTTCTCGAAAGTGAGCCGTTTTATCAAATTTGTTGCAAGAAATGATTGTGGTCTGCTTTATTCTGCTTGTAATTTTGCAATTTCTTCTAGAGTATTCTCGCTGTATTCTCTGAGAAGGAATGGGGTCCCCGTATTGGTTCTTTGTGTGCAAAAATGGTCTCACTCGAAGGAAGCTTTTCACTGGTGTGGTATTTCATCATAGAACCTAACATTCGCAGCTTATAGTCCCTCATTGGTCACGTGTTTTTTGCAGGTATTAGACCTTTTTGATACCATACTGGATGTGGTGTATTTTGATGAGTGTATTGTGCCAATTATTGGTAAGCTGTCGGAACAATTGTTCGCCAAGGTAAGTAAAGTGTTGTACATTCATGGAAGTAGCGTTGAACATGTGCCTCGGTAGAATAGCTTCCGGTCTGTTGTCCAAAAGGGAACCAAA